GCCTGTCTTCAAGGCTCGTTACGTTGCTAGAGGCTTCAGTCAGCGTCAGGGGGTCGACTTCTTCCAGACCTTCTCCCCCACCCCGAAGATGACCACTCTTCGGGTTCTGCTGCACGTTGCTGCTCAGCGTGACTACGAGCTTCACTCTCTTGACTTCAGCACAGCGTTCCTGCAGGGCAGCCTGCACGAGGAGATCTGGCTGCGCCGCCCACCTGGCTTTACTGGGTCGTTTCCCCCTGGTACCCAGTGGAGTCTCCGCCGGCCAGTCTACGGTCTCCGCCAGGCGCCACGTGAGTGGCACGACACACTGAGGACTACTCTTGCGGCTCTTGGGTTCGCGCCGTCTACTGCTGACCCGTCGCTGTTTCTGCGCACAGACACGTCGCTGCCGCCGTTCTACATTCTCGTGTACGTCGACGACTTGGTCTTTGCTACTGCTGACACTGAGGCACTCGCTCGTGTGAAGTCGGAGCTGCAGAAGAGACACACCTGCACTGACCTGGGTGAACTGCGTAGCTACCTTGGCTTGCAGATCACCCGGGACAGAGCTCGCCGCACCATCACCCTGACTCAGTCACACATGGTGCAGCAGGTCCTTCAGCGCTTCGGCTTCCAGTTCTCCTCACCACAGGCCACACCTCTGGCTACCAGCCACTCGCTCTCAGCTCCACCTTCGGACGAGTCCGTAGAGCCGAGTGGCCCGTACCCAGAGCTTGTAGGCTGCCTCATGTACCTGATGACTTGCACGCGACCTGACCTCGCGTACCCTCTTAGCATCCTTGCTCGTTACGTTGCGCCTGGGAGACACAGGCGAGAGCACTGGGAGGCTGCTAAGAGGGTGCTGCGTTACCTGTGCAGTACATCAGGCATGGGGCTGGTGCTTGGAGGACGCGACAGAGTTGTCCTCACTGGTCACTCGGACGCCTCTTGGGTGGACGACCTGGCTACGCAGCGGTCGTCACAGGGTTACACCTTCAGCCTTGGCTCAGGTTCTGTCTCGTGGCGGTCCACCCGCTCTTCCTCTGTTCTCAGCTCTAGTTGTGAGGCTGAGATCTACGCCACAGCCATGGCTGCACAGGAGTTACGCTGGCTCACCTACCTGCTGACTGACTTGGGAGAGCGGCCTAGTTCTCCTCCAGTTCTGTACGGTGACAACAAGGCGGCTCTTGCCTTGTGTCAGGAGCACAGACTGGAGCACAGGACGAAGCACATTGCTCTTCGCTACTTTCTTGCTCGAGAGCTTCAGCAGCGCGGTCAGCTTCGGCTTGTGTACGTGGACTCGAAGGCCAACACTGCTGATATCTTCACCAAGGCGCTCCCGCCTAGTGATCATCAGCGGCACTGTACTTCTTTAGGCCTTGTGTCCACGTTTCCTCACTTGCTCACTGCTTGACATTCTTTGTACTGTACTTTATATATATCTTGTTGCTTGCTTGCTAGGTTTTGATCACTGTGTTGCTTGTCTTGTACTATATCTAGCACTGCATGTGAACTGGCCTTGTGGCCTTTACTTGTGCTCGGAGTGTGGTGACGTTGTGATCCACCCTGGGCTTTGTTTTGCTTTGCTGGACTGGTCTTGTGACCCTTTGTTCTCCCCCACTTTGCCTATGGGGGTGTGTTAAACTGTATTATGCTTGTAGGCTGTAGTGGGGTAGCCAATATGAGGTACAACCCCAACTAGGGTTTCATATTTGTACCCAAACTTCTGTTAGTTCATTCATTCTTGCCTAGTTATTCTGAGAATATGTTCCACCCTACGATGACGGTCTAGTGAAGAGGGTCTCGTCTTACATGTACCATGGCAAGTACGGAATTTTCAATGATGTGCTGTTCGTCCCGAAAATTTCGATGCCGATGATCACAGTTGAGGAACAACCGCTTTACCTTGGCATTGAAATATGCGGTCCATACTGAATGCCTCAAGCCTCAGTATGTCACCTCACAAGTGATTGACATTGGTGAAGCATGTACAAATTTTCGGAGCCTTTTTTCTCAACGCTGCCTTGCGAATGTGTCAAAGTTTGGTATGTGCTTCACAACTCCTTTGCAGCAATATGCTACTAGTCTTGAGCCTTAATACTCAAGGCCAAATTGTTTGCATACCATGCAACAAGTGCATCAACATGTTAATACGTCAACCGTAAATACGAGCTATGCTGCGAAAGGCCCATCCTACATTGAAGTCACGTGATGTTATTGCACAACGTTGAAATTATGTTCAATTCAACAACTATGGTTAGTTACCGCAACTTCCCGACTTCATCGTTTACGTGCTCGGTCGTCGGATAGACATTTAACATCCTCGAACGACTTCCAAAAGGTTTTAACAATGTTCTCTTACGAGATGGATGGCGCTTCATCGCTACTGACAATTTCTTGTGACAATCATTGTGCAACTTATTGCCCTCTCGACTTCTGCGCACATCTGGTACCCCTTTCATCGTTCTCCTTTGGGAACCTCTCCCACGATGATAGGTAAGACATATAGCTCCTCCATTCCATTCCGTCCTTCTCTAACAGGGTGAAACCCTAAGTTCTGGGGCTCAGCTCCCGACACACCTAATGTCTCTTATCCTATGATGACTGCTCTGCAGACTCCTTGGAGAGTCTTGTCTTAATATGAAAAATTTTGAAATACAATTTTCAAAATTTAAAGATTATGACAAGACTTGTAAAGGATTATGCAGTAAGGAGTCATGTGCTCCTTATCTCGTGGCAGGTCCACAGACCTGCCACGTAGTCGAAATCATTTCTAGATCTGAATCTAGAATCCACCCTCCCGCCCTTACGCTAGTTAGTATACACGTTAGCTTCGTATCTAAGTCAGTGGTAGTTACTTTCGTTTTGTTATGTCTTTGTAATTTGCAATCTAGTGTGCTGTATGATTGAGATCTGAAATGCTATGATGACTGCTCGATGATGACTGCTCTGCAGACTCCTTGGAGAGTCTTGTCTTAATGTACATATACATGCATGGAAGGGCATAGATAGGAACACTATACGAGGAAGTCTGCTTACGTCGTGCAATTGCAGTTGACTTGTGACGTGCACGGCATCATATGAGACTGCCAGATCGGATATCCTAGGAGTGCGTACGATCAATGGGTGTTTATGAACAGTGCGTTACACGAAAGGTTGCACAACGGCGACAAAGCGTCTTATCAAATCATGAAAGATGCTGCCTACTCACTCAGTAACTTCTGCCTGACACCACTACATGCACCCCAAGCGGGCCTAATGAAAGACTGGGAGTAGTGCTTTAACTACTGCCAGAGCGCAATGCGCATGGCGCTAGAGCAATGCATCGGCGCATTTAAAGGCAGATGGCGTCTACTCGCGGCCGCAACGACTGCAAGCTGTGGCGCGTGCTTGCAGAGGCGTCTTGTTGCGTCATCCTGCACAACAAGTGAAAGACAATGGGGCAGGTGAGGTGCGTCAACATGGTGTGGGCTAACTTGCCACAAAACCGGGACCCATGGTGGACACGTGGCGCTGTCCCCGACTTCAAGTGGGAGTCGTGTACCTCTTGCACACAAGCAATACCGAAGAAGGGGGCGCAAGCGGCTTGGTGAAGCACTAGAGGCGTGGTACCTTACTCGGCGTCGCCGCGAACCCACACCTTCTCGTCTGCATCCGGGTTAGCAGCAGCGTCGCCATACTGCGCGCGACGGAACTACCATCATCGCCGCCTTTGGCGGCATTCGTAGCGAGCTGGGTGTAAGCATTCGCGGGGACGTCGTTGAGTTTCGGCGGAGCTGCCGCGGTCTGTTGCAGGAGTTCGCGAGCAATCCGCTCATCTTGCTGCATCTAGGCGCGGACGAGGCTTTCAAGCTTGGTCATTGCATCCGCTTGGCATCCCTTGATGGTCTCACAAACAAGCTTCGCGGCGGCCATGGTGGCCGTCTCTGCAACCCGTGAGCGCTTGAAAGGAGGACTGCACTGCGGAAGGGGGGGCTAACAGGCAAAAAGATGGATTAGAGTGGTTTTTGCGCCACGTGCATGTGTTAAGAATAGTTGTGTAACCCGCGATGCGTAATACAAACCACATCAATGATACGAAAACAAATAACTGGTTAGAGTAGACGTGCAGGAAGCGGACGTACATGGCACCGCGAACCCGGCCGGCACATTAACATGTGTCGCACTGCCGGCGTCCACGGCATGTGGGCTGGCAACGGCCCGTTTGTACTGGAAGATCTCCATGTACGTGAACCAGGGTGGCTTCGCCACCGCACCCTTGCCCGACGCCTTCCCCCTCTTCTTGTGCTGCTTGTAGATACAAACGAGGTTGTGTCACTTCTTCTGCACCGCATTCACGCCGCGGACCCACTCTGGGATCTTTTTTAATGTGGCTCATGAGGCGTGCCCAATACTGCGAGCCTTGCTTCCCGAGGAGAGGCTCGAGCTTGAGAGGATGCAACCCTGTCTGCGTCACGGTGCCCGCGCGTCGGGGCGTCACGCGGGGCTTGGTGGGAGGTGGCTCCTGGGGAAGGTGTTCCCTCAGGCAGCGGGCCCGCGGGCTTGCGTCCTGTGGCAAGTTGCTTGTTATCCACGCAATATACGGGATATCATTGAGATCCCGCGGGCACTCGGTCGCAGCGTCGGCTGCTATCTTGCGTATACGAGCCATGGCTACGGAAGGGTGGAGTTCTTGAGAAACGGAAAACAATGACAGAGAATAGATCTTGACAGGGGGAGATGAAGAGATTGGGGAGGGAGAGATAACAGATGGGTCAGGAAGGTGAGTGGGGTTGGCAAACAGGAATGCGTGATGGTGGGGTGCGGTACTGATTGTAACATTTATTATGCAACGCATTTTTCGGGCAGTAGGGTTTCACTTGCCATACAAACATGCCTCAGTTTATGTTGTAATAAGAGATCCATCCATGTACAAGAATACAAAACACAAAGCTGATGGCAGATATATTGCAGACCGTATTCTAGCTGCTTAGGCATGATTTGCACTGATACAATGTCACATTGTTACATGAAACCTCGTGCTATGCTTCATGGTTCAAAACGACTCGAAAAATTGCCTGTTTGCTCATCATTCGATCGAAGGCCTCTGACGCCTGGCTGGCGGGAAAGATCTCGTTGATTGGCCGAATCCCATGCCGGGCAGCAAACTGGACGGGGATGACGTGCGATTGGTGGGTGATGTGGGGGAGGGGGGGTTGACATGGAGATGATGAGTTGGAGACGAGGAATCTCCGGGATGGAGCGGGCAGCATCAATAGAGTGGGAGGAAAAAAAACCAATCCCTTGAGAGCATCTTCAGCATAACTGGGCTGTCCCAAAACAAAACACCTGTCTTTAAATGGGCACCAATTAAAACCCCCAGTCCATCCACACACTGCAGTCATTGTGCCTCCCCACCACGCCCCCTACAGCCATACTCACAACCCCCATAGCCTCCTTCCAGCGAGCAGAACCTCCGGGTCCGAGCATGGCGCAAACACTATGGCCTCTAGCACCCAGCAGCAGTGGAAGGAGCGCAGACTAGCACGTACCTTGAGCAAGCGGCCATCACAGCCGTTATCCCTGTGCTCCCACTCACCCGGAGTGCATCCTCTGCATCGCTGGGTTGCCCCGATGGGAACCCCATGACCTTGCGGCGGCCGGCAATGAGGAAGCCCGGGTCCACGAGCACAGTGCAGTCGTCGTGGCCGCCCCCGCCCAGCAGAACTAGCGTGCCCGCCTTGCCCAGCACAGGCAGCACCGCCGACACCGCATTGGCACTGGGTGCTGTTGCCAGCAGCACGTTGATTCCCCCTTGAGCCTGGTGCGGCGGAAGGGGTGAGGCGGTTAAGGTGTGTGTGTGTGTGTGTGAGAGAGAGAGAGAGAGAGAGAGAGAGAGAGAGAGAGAGAGAGAGAGAGAGAGAGAGAGAGAGAGAGAGAGAGAGAGAGAGAGAATAGCGGCCTTGGCAGGGCATTGCACTGACGCTGGGTGCTGTTGCTACCAGCACGTTAATTCCTCTTATTGCCTGCAGGGAGGTCCGAGTCTGGAGGGGGTTGAGGGGGTTGAGGGGGGGGGGGGGGGGGGGGGGGGGGGGGGGGGGGGAGAAAAGAGAAAAGCACATAATCTGCCATGGCTGCAATGCTGGGAACTGCACGTTAGTTCCCTAACACCTACCTAATGATTAGGACGGAAAAGGAGAGGAGGAGGTGCAGGGGCGTGAGGGAGAGGGAGAGGCAGGTGGGTGATCAGAGGAGAGTGCCGGTCTTGGCAAGGGTGGGAAAGTGAGAGCAGACGCGAGGTGGGGGGGGGGGAGTTTAAAAGGAAAGGGTAGTGGGGCCGACAAGCTGAGTTTAATTCCCAAAGAATGTCGGAGAGGACGGTGCTTGACTCATTCCCTCCAATGGCTTCACATTTTCTTCTCAAAACCCTCCTCTAGGTCCATGCAATGTTGTGCGGTGCTGCACACCGCATTTTCTCGCCTGAACTTTCACCTACACCCTGATTTCGCTCCTGAGGTTTCTCCTGATATCCAACTTTTCACCTGAACTTTCTCCTGAAAGCCGTCCTCTGTGGTGTCAACATAGTGCTGTGCGCCCAGCCTCCGTGCCTCCACCTCCTTGCTTCGACCGCGAGAGAACACCACCACCTCGTACCCCATCTTGCTCGCGTACTGTGAGATGCGTTGTGAGGAACGGGACGAAACGAAGGGTTGTTGGCTACAGTGCCACTTTTTAACCCATCGTGCGTGCTTGCATACAGTGGGAGTGAAAGGAAGAGGGGATGACAATTATGAGCGGCGGATGGGACTAACGGTAACGACAATAACGGTAATTATGAGGGACACAGCAACAGAGCACCTCACCGCACAGTGAGTGATTCTGATGAGGGACACTAGTAACACAGAGAGAGCACAGCAATGGAATGAGGTGCTTGCAGCAGAGATGACATTTCACCAGATCATCGCAGAGAAGAACAGAGCAACAGAGCACCACACCTGAAACATGCAACAGAACACCTCACCTGAACGGCAAGGTGGCCCAGCCCGCCCATCCCCTGAACGCCAACAGTGGCACCTGGAGAAGCACCTGAACGCTGCAGACTGTTGAACACCGTCAGGCCTGGCATGGGAGAACAGGGGAACAGGGTTTTGGAGGCGCAAGAAAGGAACACGTGTATGCCGCATACCGTTGCACGCGTCCATGCCTGGCGACGCAGGGGGGGTGTGGAGGGAGGGAGGGAGGGAGGGAGGTCCAGTGGGAGTTACAGAGTGCATCACCAGCTTAGAGTCGGCTTCTGAGTGCCACCCATGGGGTTCCACCCATGGGGTTCCACCCATGGGGTTCCACCCATGGGGTTCCACCCATGGGGTTCCACCCATGGGGTTCCACCCATGGGGTTCCACCCATGGGGTTCCACCCATGGGGTTCCACCCATGGGGTTCCACCCATGGGGTTCCACCCATGGGGTTCCACCCATGGGGTTCCACCCATGGGGTTCCACCCATGGGGTTCCACCCATGGGGTTCCACCCATGGGGTTCCACCCATGGGGTCCCACCCATGGGGTCCCACCCATGGGGTCCCACTCATGGGCACCCGTGGCACGCTGTGGATGCCTCACGGGGATGAGCGACGGGGACGATGGGGAGGGTGGGGAGAGCGGGAACGAGGGAAAGGAGGATGGGGAACGTAAGAGGGTAGGGTGGGGACGGGGGGAGGAAGTGGAAGGACGGACGCCTACCTGCGCACATTAGCGGTGCAGCTTCCAGGAAAGTGAGCTCGTCCGGAATCTTCGCGAGCGCGTTTGCGGCGACGGTGACATACGGCTGGTAACCACCGTCGAAGTGCGCGCCGGTAATCTCGAGGTTGTCGCAGCAGATCAGATCGCCCTCGCGACATGAGCGACACGTGCCACAGCACCCGCCGAACCAACCTAATCCGACGCGATCTCCTATCTTCCACTGCGGCCGAGCTGCGTCATCTACGGCGGCTCCTATGGCGTCGACCACGCCTGCTATTTCATGGCCTGGGACGCGCGGGAATGTGGTTCCTAGGAGACCGAATTTTGCAATGATGTCGCTGTGACACACGCCGCACGCATGAACCTTCACGCGAACCTTCCCGACAGGCGGCGCTTCAACGGTCTTGTCCACCGTGGCGAACGGCGCCCCTGGCGCCGCGAGTTGCGGGGCTTTGAAAGTCGCCGCCATGCCGCAATCGCACTAGAGAACCGAAGGGAATGGCGGATGATGACGGGTATCGTCACTTTAAAATCGACTCAAAAGAGCACCGGGATTGGATTGTCACTTGGCAATTGCTGATCGAGATATCCTGGTCGACTCCGCCTGACAGGAGAGAAACGACACGGACGAAAGTCGAATGGCGCGCATTCCGCGCTGGTGCCAACAAGGAAGATTCCAGCAGTGAAACAGGGATACGGCGCAGCGAAGCACGGCGCACCGACGCACGGCGCACCGACGCACGGCGCGGCTGGCCTGGCCGGCCTAGCGAGGAGAGAGCAGCGCCGTAGCTAGAAAATAAAAGTGCGTCGCAGCGGAAGGAAGAAAAGCTAGGCTAGAGAGACCTAGCTCCAGAAACTTAGATGACGAGAGAGTTGAGGAGAAGAGAATCAAGATAGATGAAAGGATGATTCTCAGATTAAAATAGGAGATCCGGATGATTCTCAGCATGGCATCTTGGGATAGCGCCTCGATGCCATGCCTCGCTGGATTCTAGTAACATAATCAATGACGAGGATAAGAGAGTAAGCTCCGAGGTTGGTTGGTACATAGCTCTATCTGGAGCTGTCTAGGAAAGGGGAGTTCCAACTGTTTGGGTATTCCCATGCGCGCTGGCATCGAGAATCCCAACTTGTATAATTCCCCTCCTAAGGAGGCATCGTCCCGAGGGCCATATTCAGGTGCAATCTATTTAGAAATAGTCACCCTCCCCTGCTGGGTTACCAGCAGAATAATCATCCCGAGACTAGGGCGCGCGTTGAAGTGCGGGAGACGCCAGAAGTGGTGCCGTTGGGATCGCGTCGACCGTGAGTATCGCGTGTCTGCGAGGGGAGGGGAGGAACCAGCTTGCCCTCATCATCTGACCATTCCGCCTGATTTTGATGAGCGGAAATACTGTACTCGTTTGTGTGAGATCGTAGCGCCAAATGGTAGGTTTTTGTGAAAATTTTAATTTTCTCAACAAAGGAACTTTGTGGAAACGTATTCAGGCAGAAGCAAGGTCAGGATAACAGCAGCTGGCAGCGAAAGTACAAGAATTGACAAAACGATATCTAGATTAGCTTAGTGATAACGACACAAAGGTCTGAACATACCACATGCTGCTGTGTCTCTCCTCTAACATTTATTGTGTCAGATTCAGTACCTTTCATCACCACCACCATCGTCGTCCTCGTCATAAAACCCTTCCTCCTCGAATTCCTCCTCCTGGTAGTCCCCCTCATCCTCCACATACCCCCCACCACCCACCCCCGACCCACCATCAACTCCCCATTCCCCTCCCCTCTTCTCATGCCCTGCCCCTTCCCTACCTCCACCCATCACCTCCCGCTTCCCTCTCCCTCCCCTCCCACCCCCTCCCCGTCCTCCCCTCTCCCCTCCTCCCCCTCTCCCTCTTCCTCTGCCCCTGCCACGGCCCCTTCCCCCTCCTTTACCCTTTACTTCCATTGGAGGCGGGGCGGTGGAGGAGAGAGAATGAGGCCTGCGCTGCCCCAACGGCACATCCTCCATATAAGCCTCCTCGTCTTCCTCACCATCTTCCTCCCTTCCATAATCACTGTACTCCTCGTTATACTCACCTCTGGAATAGTCATCATTCCAATCCTCATCCTCATACCCCTCCTCATTCACACTCTCCCCATACCCACCCGTCCCACCCCCTCCACCATAAGCCTCCTCCTCATATCCATACTCCGGTGCCCTCTTCCCTCCTCTCCCTCCACCTCTCTCTCCTCTCCCCACTCCCTGTCCTCCCTCCCCTCTCCCCGCACCTCTCCCTCCTCGTCTACCCCTTCCCCGTTCCCTCCCCACACCTCCCCTTACCTCCGCCTCCACCACCACCACCACCACCACCAGCAGCACCACCACCACCCCCACCATCAGCAGTACCACCAGCACCACCATCAGCACCGGTGGCGGGCTCATCAGCAAGAGCCACGCCGTGGAAGTGTTTGAGGTGCAGCCTGAGCTTGTATTCGTGGAAGTAGCGCTTGCTGCACCCCGCCTCGCCGCACGCAAACACGCGCTCCGACTCCTCCAGCTTGCGCCGCCGCCGCCGCCGAATCGGCCGCACCTCCTCCCCCTGCTCCCCCTGCCCTCCCGGGCCTTTTTTCCCCGATGCGCCCTTCCCCCCCTTCCCTCCCTTACCTCCTCCGCCTCCCTCCCCTCCCTCTCCCTCCTCACCCCCCATTTCCTCCCGCCACGCCTCCTCACCACCCTCCTCCTCGTCTTCTTCTCCACCGTACCTCTCCATGCCACCACCCTCCCCCATTGAATCCTCACCTCCCATGTCTTCCCCCAACCCATCACTACCCATCCCCCCATCATACATCCCCTCATCCGCACTCCCCATCTCATCAAACGCTCCCTCCCCTTCCTCCTCGCCTTCCCCCTCGCCCAAGTCACTCGCCCCAGTGATCTCCTCCCCCTCGTTATACTCACCCTGCTCACTCTCCCTCTCCATGCCTTCCCCATCCTCCTCCTCTGCCCCATACCCGCCCCCATAACCAGACGCACCACCACTATACCCGCCAGTGCCACGGGCATTTTCAGCATCACTCCAATCCCTTGCTGACCCACCTACCCCTCTCCCCCTCCCTCTCCCTCTGCCTCTCCCCACTCCCCTGCCTCTGCCTCTCCCCCTTCCCCTTCCTCTCCCCCTACGGCTGTCTGCCACGTCCCCCCCTCCTGCTTCTCCCCCATCCTCTCCTCCAAAGGACCCTCGCCCTCTCCCTCTCCCCCTTCCACGTCCCCTCCCCCGCCCCCTCCCTCTCCCGCTGCCCCTACCCCCTTGTTCTCTCACCCCTCCTCCCTCTCCTCCAGCTTCAGAGATAGAATTAAGGGACCGACCTCGCTTTACTGCCATTCCCTTTCGCAATCCAGCACCAACGCTTCCCTCCTCCTCCTCATCCTCACTCTCCCCCTCCTCATCTCCATCCACCCCCTCGTCACCCTCCCCATCCCCCTCTGCCCCTTCCCCAAACCGCCTTTTCTCGCCCTCTGTTCCCTCCTCCCCGCCCTGCCCCCAACTCTCTGATCCCCTCCCTTTCTCACTCTCTTTCTCCCTCCCCCCCTCACTCCCTCCTTCACTCTCCTCTCCTGCATCCTCCCGCCTCCGTTTCCCCCCCATTTTCTCCTCTCCCCTTTCCCCCTCTCCCTCCCTCTCACTCCCATCTCCTGCCATCCCCTCCCCCTCTCGCTTCCTCCTCCCTCGCCAACCCTTCTCCTTGCTCCCCGCACCGCCCCCGTCACTCTTCCTCCCTTGCCCATCGCCCCCCTCCCGCCCCTCCCTCTCCGCCCTCCCCCCACCTTCGTCTTGCGACCCATCTGATCCCTCGCGCGCTGCAGACCGCTGCTGGGACACACACAGGTGGAGCAGAGAGGAGCAGGGCAGAAAGAACAAAGGGAAGGAAGATGAGAGAGCACGGGAGAGATGAGTGACGCCTCACGTGCCACCCCTTGCTGCTGGGGGGAGCAGCTAAGAGCACTGGATGGAAGTGGTTCAGACTTGAATGGAAGGTGAAGAAGCTACTGGAGGTGCATGCAATGGTGCCCGTGAAAGAATTGAACAAAGAAAAAACAAAAGAGGTTACCCGCTGCTGTTGCATGGGTCTTCTGTCACCATGCGCCAACGAGAGATGCATATGCAGCTTGCTCTCTTGCCTCCCCTGTTGAGATTCGTTATAGGTGTCCCGGGTGTTACGACTCCTTATAAGCATACCTGCTGCTGCGAGCTCTTGATATCTCCAAGTGCCGACGCCAGCTTGCTCTCGTGCCTCAGGTGTCGAAACTCGTTATAGGTGCCTCAGGTGTTGTGACTCGTTATAAGCATACCTGCTGCTGTTTATCGCCATGTGCCGACGCGAGGTGCATGCGCAGCTTGTTCTCGTGTGCAAAGCGCTTGCCGCACTCCAGTATCGGGCACGTGTGGTAGTTCTCCCCTGTGTGCGTGCGCATGTGTGAACGGCGATTGAAGTCCAACGAAAAGGCCTGCTCAGCCATGCATGTGCGCATGACACAACAAAAGAGGGGAAAAACAGGTTCAGCAGGGGAGGATGGGGCACGTGTTATAGTTCTCCCCGGTGTGCGTGCGCATGTGCGATCGGCGATTGAAATCCAACGAGAAAGCCTGTTGTGCATGAGTGTATGCATGTGGCAGGGCAAGGAGGGGAGGAGAGGTTAAGAAGCAGCGGAGGATGGGGCACGTGTGGCGGTCCTCTCCTGGGTGCGAGCGCCGGTTGAAATCCAACAAGAACGCAGGAAAAGAAGGAGAGGACAGGTAAAAAGCAGGAGAGGATGGGGCGCAAGTGTTTGCGTGGGGGAATCGCTGGGACCAGTTACAATGCAGAGGGAGAAATGACAAGCACCATTTACAGGGAAAGGTTGAGCAGAGGGGAAACACACAAAACAAGGGGGAGAGAGGGGCGACTACAGTGCTGCGCTCACATGCTCATCGCTGCACCTCCAACACTCACCCTGAGAAGGGACTCATTCAATCTGTGAGAAGGAAAACACACCTTGCCGCACCCGTCATCACCTTGCCGCACCCCTCATCACCTTGCCGCACCCCTCATCACCTTGCCGCATCCCTCGTCACCTTATCACACCCCTCATCACCTTGCCGCACCCCTCATAGGGGCAGAAGAAGCGCTTCTCGCCCGTGTGGATGAGGAAGTGGCGCTTCAGCTTGCTGCTGTCCACAAAGCGCTGCCATGCCATGCGATGGGCAAAGAGAGAGGAGGAGAGGGCAAGAGAGCGCAAGAGAGGAAGAACAAAGCACTCTTGTGTTGTAAAGGTGCTCTGGAACGTGAACAAGTGGCGCTTCAGCTTGCTGCTGTCCACGAACCGCTGTTATGCCATGTGATGGGCACAGAGAGAGGAAGAGAGGGCAAGAGAACGCAAGAGAGGAAGAAGAAAGCACTCTGGTGTTGTAAAGGTGCACTGGAACGTGAACAAGTGGCGCTTCAGCTTGCTGCTGTCCACAAACCGCTGCCATTCCAAGCATGGGGAGGGCAACAGAGCAACAAAAGCTCTCTTGCGTTCGTTAGGGACTCGGAACATAAGAGATGGTAATTCAAATTCGTTTCTTCTTTCCACAAAATGAGGCTATTGGTGGGATTGAAAGCAAGGGACGCATGATCGCTATTGGTGAATGGGGGGGTTTATGAGGAGCACGAATAGGTGGTAAAGGATAGTAAGTTCTGCCAGGTGGTGTGGAAGGGGGTGGTGTGGAAGGGGGTGGTGTGGAAGGGGGTGGTGTGGAAGGGGGTGGTGTGGGGGGTGGTGTGGAAGGGGGTGGTGTGGAAGGGGGTGGTGTGGAAGGGGGTGGTGTGGAAGGGGGTGGTGTGGAAGGGGGTGGTGTGGAAGGGGGTGGTGTGGAAGGGGTGGTGTGGAAGGGGGTGGTGTGGAAGGGGGTGGTGTGGAAGGGGGTGGTGTGGAAGGGGGTGGTGTGGAAGGGGGTGGTGTGGAAGGGGGTGGTGTGGAAGGGGGTGGTGTGGAAGGGGGTGGTGTGGAAGGGGGTGGTGTGGAAGGGGGTGGTGTGGAAGGGGGTGGTGTGGAAGGGGGTGGTGTGGAAGGGGGTGGTGTGGAAGGGGGTGGTGTGGAAGGGGGTGGTGTGGAAGGGGGTGGTGTGGAAGGGGGTGGTGTGGAAGGGGGTGGTGTGGAAGGGGGTGGTGTGGAAGGGGGTGGTGTGGAAGGGGGTGGTGTGGAAGGGGGTGGTGTGGAAGGGGGTGGTGTGGAAGGGGGTGGTGTGGGGGGTGGTGTGGAAGGGGGTGGTGTGGAAGGGGGTGGTGTGGAAGGGGGTGGTGTGGAAGGGGGTGGTGTGGAAGGGGGTGGTGTGGAAGGGGGTGGTGTGGAAGGGGGTGGTGTGGAAGGGGGTGGTGTGGAAGGGGGTGGTGTGGAAGGGGTGGTGTGGAAGGGGGTGGTGTGGAAGGGGGTGGTGTGGAAGGGGGTGGTGTGGAAGGGGGTGGTGTGGAAGGGGGTGGTGTGGAAGGGGGTGGTGTGGAAGGGGGTGGTGTGGAAGGGGGTGGTGTGGAAGGGGGTGGTGTGGAAGGGGGTGGTGTGGAAGGGGGTGGTGTGGAAGGGGGTGGTGTGGAAGGGGGTGGTGTGGAAGGGGGTGGTGTGGAAGGGGGTGGTGTGGAAGGGGGTGGTGTGGAAGGGGGTGGTGTGGAAGGGGGTGGTGTGGAAGGGGGTGGTGTGGAAGGGGGTGGTGTGGAAGGGGTGGTGTGGAAGGGGGTGGTGTGGAAGGGGGTGGTGTGGGGGGGTGGTGTGGAAGGGGGTGGTGTGGAAGGGGGTGGTGTGGGGGGGGTGGTGTGGAAGGGGGTGGTGTGGAAGGGGGTGGTGTGGAAGGGGGTGGTGTGGAAGGGGGGTGGTGTGGAAGGGGGTGGTGTGGAAGGGGGTGGTGCGGAAGGGGGTGGTGTGGAAGGGGGTGGTGTGGAAGGGGGTGGTGTGGAAGGGGGTGGTGTGGCCGGGGGTGGTGTGGAAGGGGGTGGTGTGGAAGGGGGTGGTGTGGAAGGGGGTGGTGTGGAAGGGGGTGGTGTGGAAGGGGGTGGTGTGGCCGGGGGTGGTGTGGCCGGGGGTGGTGTGGAGGGGGTGGTGTGGGGGGTGGTGTGGAAGGGGGTGGTGTGGCCGGGGGTGGTGTGGAAGGGGGTGGTGTGGCCGGGGGTGGTGTGGAAGGGGGTGGTGTGGAAGGGGTGGTGTGGGGGTGGTGTGGCCGGGGTGGTGTGGAAGGGGGTGGTGTGGCCGGGGGTGGTGTGGAAGGGGGTGGTGTGGAAGGGGGTGGTGTGGCCGGGGTGGTGTGGAAGGGGGTGGTGTGGCCGGGGGTGGTGTGGAAGGGGGTGGTGTGGCCGGGGGTGGTGTGGCCGGGGTGGTGTGGCGGGGGTGGTGTGGCCGGGGGGTGTGGAAGGGGGTGGTGTGGCCGGGGTGGTGTGGGGGGTGGTGTGGAAGGGGGTGGTGTGGCCGGGGGTGGTGTGGCCGGGGGTGGTGTGGCCGGGGGTGGTGTGGCCGGGGGTGGTGTGGCGGGGGTGGTGTGGCCGGGGGTGGTGTGGGGGTGGTGTGGGGGGGTGGTGTGGGGGGTGGTGTGGCCGGGGGTGGTGCGCGCCGGGGGTGGTGTGCCGGGGGTGGTGTGGCCGGGGGTGGTGTGGCCGGGGGTGGTGTGGCCGGGGGTGGTGTGGAAGGGGGTGGTGTGGAAGGGGGGTGGTGAGCGACCGGGGGTGGTGTGGCCGGGGGTGGTGTGGCCGGGGGTGGTGTGGCCGGGGGTGGTGTGGCCGGGGGTGGTGAGAAACGGATGGTGTAAAGAGCGTCCTTGACTTGACGCATGTTCAAGGCGATGGGACAGAGAGACAGGCCATGCCCGCTATCTGAGAACTCCACCCCATGGCATGGCAAGTCCAGCTGAGTCGCTCTGAGTAGCCGGCAAGGCAAGCTGCTGGAAGCTGGTCAGTGGAGAATGAAACGCCATCGCACACCAAACAAAAAAGGCCCGCTGGCCCCACCCACCCCACGCCGCCCCGTCCCGACTCCCGACCTGACTCACCTTGCCGCAGCCCTCACCTTGCCGCAGCCCTCACCTTGCCGCAGCCCTCACCTTGCCGCAGCCTTCATAATGGCACACAAACTGCCTCTCCCCATGCACGTTCGAATGCTTCCTCAACCCCCCTGCATCCAGAAACGCCTTTCCGCACCCATCTACACCGCACACAAACGGGCCTCCACCCAACCCACCAACCCCACCACTAGCAGCAGCAGCAGCGCCAGCAGCGCCGCCAGCAGCGGAGAGACCAAAGCCAATGCTGCTGCCACCCCCGCTTGCCGCTGCTGCTGACTCCTCCCCTGCACCTGCAGCACCGCTCTGCATGTCGCCCAGCCCACTTGCACCGGGCATGGCGATGGCACTTGTGCTCGCAGCACCTGCTGCTGCTGCTGGGGAGCCTGCAGGGGCCATTCCCCCCGTCCCTACTGCCGCGCCCATACCACCCCACGCCCCCACCCCTCCCCTCCCCGCCTCCCCTACCGCTGCTCCCCCTCCGCTCATCTGCATGCTCACACTCCCCCCTCCGCCTGCTCCCCCTCCTGCTGCTCCCCCAGCGCCTCCCCCGCCCCCTGGCAGTGCGCCCATGCCACCCGCCATGGTGCCATGGGCAGCAGCGGGCAGCTGCAGCATCGCCAGCCCAGGCATTCCCCCCCCTGCTGCTGCATGTGCATGCCCTCCAGCCACTCCCCCTTGCCCTTGCATCCCCCCTTGCATCCCCCCTTGCCCGTGCCCCGCGTGCATTCCCCCTGGAAAAGGCGGTGCCCCGCCTGCATTCCCCTGCGCCACTGCCCCCTGGATTTGCATTCCCTGCCCCAGCCCCAGCCCTAGCCCTAACCCCTGTCCCAACCCTAACCCCTGTCCCTGGCCCTGCATGTGCTCCCCCTGCCCCGGCCCCTGTGGGATGGCGGGAGAGAGCGAGCGGGCGTCATGAGGCGGCCCTGATTGGCCCCCACTCGCCCCACTCGCCCCACCTGCTGCCCCGCCGCCCGCCAGTCCTGATGGCCCACCTGCTGGCATGCCGCTGCGGCCGGCAAGGGCGGCACCGGAGGGCGAGAGGTGGGCGGCGGAGGGCGAGAGGTGGGCGGCGGAGGGCAGGGAGAGGCGGAAGATGGTCGGCCCACCGCCCGACAGGGACGTGGGGGCGGCGACAGGGGCGAGGGGAGACGGCGTTCTCAATGATGCTCCTGCTGCTGGGGATGGCGCTGCTGCTCCTGCAGGCGTTGCTGATGGTGGCGTTGCTGAGAGGGGAGAGCCCCAGAGGGTGGGATCCGCTCCTCCCCCTTGCCCGCCCTGCCCGCCCTGCCCTGCCTGCCCTCCCTGCCATTGCCCTGCCTGCCCCTGCATGCCCCCTCCAGGAGCAACAGGCATTTGCTGCTGCTGACCCCCCATCTGCCCCGGCTGCTGCAGCTGCCGCTGCAGCTGCATTTGCATCTGCCCCATTTGCTGAACCTGGCCTGCCTGCCCGTTCACCTGCCCGTAGCCAAAATTGGGCATCTGCTGAGAGTAGGAGCCCCCATAGGAAGAGGGGGCATTGGAGAGGTTGGGCATGGGCGGCACATGAGGCATGCTGGGCATGTTCGGCAGGTTGGGCAGATTTGGAATATTTGCCATATTTGGCATGTTTGCCATTTGGGGAATGTTCAGATTGGGCATGCGAGGGAGGTTCGGCATGTGGGTGACCTGAGGCATGTTGGAGAGGCGAGGAGGAGGCGGGTAATAACCAGGGGAGGCGTTACCTCCCATATAGCCCGTACCCATGCCAGCTGCCCCAGCACCACCGGAAGCACCAGCAGCACCACTCGCGCCCTGCCACGTGGCACCACGAGGGGCAGCGGCGGCAGGAGATTGGGGGAAGCCAGGAAAGGGGTCTGCCGCGCGGGAGTATGAGGCGGAGGTGGGGGGAGGGGTGGCGGAGGCAGCAGGGGGGAAGGGGGGCGGGGGGAAGGGGCGCAGGTGCGGCATGTGCAGCTGGAAGGGGGAGGCGGACCTGGGCGCGCTGGCAGGGGGGGATCCGGCGCCTCTGGGGGATGGAAGCAAGGGGGGGGGGGGGAAGGGGACAAAGGGGAGGGCGAACGGGGACAAAGGGGAGGGGGAAAGGGGACAAAGGGGAGGGAAGAAGGTTTAAAAAGGGGAGGGGAAAAGGGGACAAAGGGGAGGGGGAAAGGGCAGCAAATGGGGCGGGAAGGGAAAGAAGGATCAGGTCATGGGGAGGCAGTTAAACTGCATCTTAACAGCACTGGAAGGACGAGAAGAGGAACAGGTGACGGATGGAGCAGGGGTATGGCTGGCAGGTAGTGGTACTATCCCTGCGTGCAGGTAGGTTGTGAGAATGCGGTTGTCTCACACGTTTGACCCGCTTGACTCACGTTTGACCCATTTAAGCACTTTGCACTTGCCGTTGTTTAGCACCGTTTCCTGCACCACCCTGTAACGCGTATGAAGGGGGGGAGAAACGCGCCGAGCACAAAAAAGCGTATCAGTTCAAAAGTTATGGACGATGGCAGATAAGGGGAGCAGATCAGGTAAAGGGCACGGGGTGATCGGAAAGATGGGACGAGAGGGAGAGGAGCACAAATGGAGACAAGGCACGGGTAGCAGCGTGGGCGGCAAAGACGAGAGAACGTACGTACTTATACCTCACAAATCTGGTGCCACGTGTCAACCTACCACTGGCGGACCCATTTCGCTGCAGGCTTGCGCGTGGAGACGGGCAGCGGATGCGGCGGAACGGGGAGCGGATACGGCGGGGCGGAGAACGGGTGCGGAGCGGAAAGCGGGCGTGGCGCAAAGTTGGCGGGAGGCGGGGGGGAGGGAGCCGCCGGGGGGGGGGTGTATGGTAGCTGCGCGGGAGGCGGAGAGGCGGGGATGAGCGGAGGCGCGGCGGAAGGGAAGGAGCGCGGTTGTGCGGCCATGGTTGCGAGAGAAGGGCTTAGAACTTGAAACTTGAAGCTTCAAGTACGGGTGCGCTTAGAAGGGCTTGAATGCGACGCGCTAAAATTGTGCTTATGCACGCTCGTTACTCGCTACAGTCACTGCCTCTTGATGACCCATCCGCGTAAAGGATGTCGTCTAATCCGTATAGCGCCCTCAGCCTGACTAGTGATTGGCCGCTTCGTTCGTAGGTCGCCCGGAAACACGGCAAGCACGAGCGCGCAGCCACAGGCAGGGTCGATCAGGAGGACAGAAAGGCATGCGCTCGACTGAGACGACGGAAACGCGCAGCGCGCTCGTTTTGGACGAGACGATGTATCCAAGACCTCGAAGGTGCAGGACCGAGTTACCTCTTAGGGGGAGAATCACTAATGGAAACCTAAACCTCACTCAGGGGGCTGTTATGCACAGATGTGACACCCAAATTACCGCGTGAACCAGGTTTGATCTGACAGCAGCAGGCACACACGGAGCACATGGATGGATGGGTAAGTGGCACTGAACGAGATTCACGAAACACGCTCCTTTCGACATTATTCGCGACATCTGCCGCTGTGGAAAATTGGTTCGTGGCAGTTGCTACCAACTTGAAACCAAATGAAATTGGTCCCAGATCGAGAATGATCCATTTTTCACCATTTCCGGATGCTACCTTAGCTGCCTCGCGCATTCGCGCACAAACGTTCCGCAATGACGTCAGGGACTCCTCGAAAGGCTGTGCGATGACGTCAGAATGACGTCAGAATGTCTAGGCAAACAATCGGTTCTTTCGGCGGCCTTACTGTGCCACGCGTGCCAATCGGTTCTTTGAAATGCCAGCCCTTCTCATGTCGTCCTCACGCCGCGTCTCCTAATGCCCCTTTCCAGTACTGCCTCCTACTGGCACCTCGTTCTCGAACCGCGTCCGCCTATTGCCGCCTCTAGGGGTGCCGTTCCTAATACTTCCCTCTGCCTCGTATTCGCAACAGCGATCCGCGTACGCGTCTTAGACCTCCTCGTTACACGCACAATGGCTGCTGTCGCAGCCGTTGACCTTGTTGCACCTGCTAGTGGCGAGTGTGCTTGTATCGAGGACAGCGGACCTGAAGACTGGCGATGGGCGGCTCAGTGCATGATTTGGCGGATGGAGCCACCGATGGCTGTGATTCAAAGGGCTACGTAAGCCACCAATCAGCGCTCGGCATCCGAAATTTCATTTGTTTCCTGATCTAAACTTCATGCTTCCAACACACACAATGCCGCACACCATTCCATCCCATCCCATGTCATCCCATGCCATCCCATGCCATTCCATCCCATGTCCATTGCACGGTGCAGGAAAGGACATGAAGGCGTTTTAACAGAGGCCTTGCAGCAGCAGCTAGTGACCATGCTACAGTCACACCCGGTTAGTCACACCGCCACTAATACAGTCACAAACGAGTGTCACACATCAACGTGCTACAGTCACATCTCAGTTCGACCCTGATTGGATTTCCTTGTTGCTCCCCCGCTCTCTGCTCCCCACTCTGCTCCCCACTCTGCTCCCCACTCTGCTCCCCACTCTGCTCCCCCATTCTCTGCTCCCCCATTCTCTGCTCCCCCATTCTCTGCTCCCCATTCTCTGCTCCCCACTCTCTCACACTCAATTGCAGCTGTTTACCCTCACTTGCTTCTCACCGCTCACTTATCCTCCCCCATCCTGCCCTCCCACCCTTCCACTACCGCCCCCAGCTCGATCCTCGTTTCTCTGCTGACCGCGCCTACTCACTGCGCTTTCTGAAGCAGCTTATAACGGAGGCAGAGAGGAGCCCGCGAGGGGAGGTTTGGGAGGAGCTCTACCCGCTCTATGTGGACGCGCTGGCCGCTGCCAGGGGGAGTGGGGAGGGTGGGGAGGCGGAGGAAGGGGAGGAGACTGTAGGTGCTGCCTCTAGCTTGCCTCGCCCCCACTATTTCTCTGCTCAGTGAACATGATGGCTTCAATCGACTTGGTCATTTGTTTGCTTCAACTGGCATGGCCTGAATCACTCCAATCGGTGCTCGCCCCCTACTACTGAACTTCAGAGGCGCCTCAAAAACCTGGTTGCAACTACTGAATTTCATTCGATTTGAATGATTCACGCGTTTGCTCTCACGTTTCGCCCCTCGTCTTTCCTCGTATGATTTCTTCTCTCCTCACAATGCATGTCGGATTTTCAACATGTCGCCCACCTGCCATCCCTCTCATTATCCACCCTTGTTACTCTGCCCACCCCCAACACCTGCTGCGCTGCACTGCACACCCCATCCCCATCGCCACACACCATCCCCATCGCCACACACGCACCATGGCAGACAGCACGCCCTGGTGTTTCCACACATACGCGCTGCGCCTGCCGCCGCTCTCCTCCTGCCCGCCGTACCCTCGCCTGCACACAAGCAACTTAAACAGCCCCACCTGCTCCGCACACCCTTCCTCCTCCCATGCAAGCGCCGCCTCCCATGCGCTCACAGTGCGTGTGTCTCGTGACATGCTGAGAGGCGGCACAGGGTGAGCGCTCCTAACTCCCCTGCATCAATGCAGTTGCCTAAGGCCTTCCCCCTTTGCCGTGGTTTAGGGTTTTCCCTCCAGTGTTTTCTGCTGTGCTGTTTACACACACTGCTCTCATGTGTTGTGTTTCTGCCACGGATGCACATGTATTGACCCATGTGTAGTCACATCACTTGCACATGGGCTGTCACCTCCACATGTATTGGTGCATATTGCCTTCGCGTCATGCATCCCACCTCACCCCACATCTTCTCCCCTTTGCTTCGCCCACTTCCCATCCCCATCTCCGCTTCCCATCCCTCTCCCCATCCCCCTCTCCCCCATCTCCCATCTCCCATCTCCCATCTCCCATCCCCCATCCCCCATCCCCCATCTCCCCATCCCCCATCAGCTGCACGGCATGGCCAGCTTCGCTCTTCCTCGCAGAGGCCCTCCTCTCCCACCCGGCGCTCCTCCTCCCCTCACCCCGCCGTCCCTCCACGCACTCGCCCATTCCACCCACCACCGCGCCTTCTGAGTCAACACAAGGAACTCCAGCCGCCCTTGTTACTGCCGCTCCAGTGGGTCCCTCGGAGCGCCCTCTCAACGCGCCAGTGAAACCAGTGTGTGGGGGGGCGCGCCCTGTGAGAGGGCCGGTGTGTGTGGAGCTGGGGTCAGGTTGTGGGCTGCTGGGGCTGTGCCTCGCGCCGTTCCCGCTGGGAAAGGTGTGCGCTCGTCCAGGAGGGGATTGGGGGGGAGGGGGAGTGAGCAGGGGAGCATGGTTTCAGTGGTGTGTGAGGGTGAGGGAGAGGGTGTGTAGGGGGGCTGTATCTATCTCGTGCATCTCAATAATCAAGTGCACTCGTGTTTGCTTCTCCTCTGCCGCTCTGCCTCCCCGCTTGTCACTTGTGAGTGCAAGCACCTACTCCGGGCCCCCGTTTCCCTGCGTGTCCCCCCAAACCCCCCTTCTCATCTAATCCAGCTTATGCTCACGAGCGATCTTTGAGTCGACTCAGAATTCCCCTTTTTCTCGCCCGTCTCCCCCCTCTCTCATCGCGCCCAGTTCTTCCTCACAGAGGCAAGCACCGCTTCGCTCACCAACCTCTGCGCGAGTCACCTCTGCCCCCGTTGACCCTTGCTTCTTGCTATCTCTGCCCCCCCCAAAACCGGCCTGTCCTTCCGTCGTATGCAGCTCATCCTCACGGACGCCAGCACTGCCTCGCTGACCAACCTCTGTGCCAACCTCGCCACCAACGCGCTGCCCTTCTCCTCCGCCTCGGAGATCTCTCTCGTCCGCCCCTCGCGCCTTCATGGGGGCAAACGCACGGCACTCCCAAGTCAAGGCGCCCAGCAACGGCCGCATGAGGAGGAGCAGAGGGTTGAGAGAGAGAAGGTGCGCGGGGGGACTCGGACAGAAGGGGCTGCAGGGACGCAGGGGTGGGAGGGTGTGATGGGGGGGGAGGAGGAGCAAGGGTGCATGTGCACCAGCTGTGTTGGGAAGAGGTCACACCTGCACTCGCCTCATCCCTCTCTGCTGACGTCATCATTGGTGCTGACATCGTGTATGATCCCTCTGTGGTGCCTGCCCTAGCTGACGCGCTGGCAGCCCTGCTGTCCACGTCAGCGCACCACGCACGCACAGAGGGCGCCACCTGGCAAGATAACCGCGCAGCTGGAATGGCACAAGCTGATCCCACACAGCACACAGGCATGCCTGAAAATGCCACCTCATCCCTACCCATCTCCCTTCCTCCGCCCCCCTACGCCCTCATAGCCTCCACGCATCGCAACCCGCTCACCATGGCATGCTTCCTGCAGGCCCTACAGGACCGTGGGCTGCAGGTGAGGGATGTTGCTGGGGAGCTCGTGCCCCACTCTCGCTCTCGCCCTTGGTCGCAGTGGTTCCATTGCTTGGAGCTTCCAGAAGCAGATCGCATGACGCTGCATCTGATTTACACGTGACACTCTTGTGGGTTATCATAACCACTTGTTTCCTAGTCTTAAGTTGCAATGGCCTAATCGCAGGATGTTGTAGGTACTGTAGAGATCGCGCTATACAGCTATAATATAACAGCCGTAGCTGTGGTCATCACATGTAACGTCAGTACGGTATGGGGCAGAAAAAAATTCACATCGTCTTGTGGCAGCAAATTGTCATTTTCATAACTCTTGAAATCCTCTTATTTAATATTTCAGTACCCTCCCCACGTTGGAGGCTCGAAAACGATATAGCGAAGCTTTCGACTCCTTGAGGCGGGCATTGACCCATTGGGGGACCAGCCGAGCAGCCCTGGGCGTGGGAAAAGTATGCTCACCACGCACGGTCGGCAAGTCAGACACGAGTTGACTGGCGCGACCTTACGGCACACTGAACCAGTAGGCATACTGCATCAGCTGTATCTAGAAAGCCGCATCGGTGTTGTCCACGACACGTCCAACGCCGTCGATGAGGATGCTTATGTGGACTCGTCAGCCAACCCCGCTTCTCACCCACCAACATCAAGGTGATTCGCGAAGCACGCGAATCCCTTGATTCGTGAACCAGCCCTGCCACTTCCTCCTTTTGGGGTGTGATGCATGACGCCGCGCCAAGTGGAATCTACGTCACCAACCGACACACTCTCCAGCAAAATGAGGCACGCCTTGAATCTTTGAAGCGGCACACCAGCATCGCATCACCCCTCTCCAATCCCACAGCACACCTCCCCACACCGCCTGCTCTGCTCCCTCGAGATTAGGGTTTCCTGCGAGCTTCGACTACTAGCTGCTTCGGTACTGCGTGTGCAAAGCTCATCTCAAGCCAGCAGCAGTTTTGCGAATCTTTCACCGCGTTGAACGTCATGGCTGCCCTTGTCCAAGTCGCGCCAGGTTCATGCCTTTCCGCGTCGCTCGCACCGTCGTCGGGCCGGAGGAGCACCTCCCAACCGGCGTCGTCAGACTGTCGGCCAGTCTCTGCTTCTTCTCAACTCAGCAGCTGCGCAGTTCGCGCGAGACACCGCGTTCCCCTGCTGAGACACGTGGCAGCATTCCAAGATGATGCGTGTCGAGCGTTCTACGAGCCAGTACGTTGCAAGAAGGCGGACAAGGAGAGCAAGGGCTTCAAGGAGGCGAAGCGGTCGCTGAAGGCGAAAGCGGCGGTGCTGGAGTCGCAGTTCGTCGCCTTGGCCGAAGCCGTTGACTCAGACGAACGGCTGACCGGCGTTGCGACGGCCACCTCGGTTGACGCGGTAAGAGATGACTCTTTGCTGACTTACCTGGTGTCTTCGTCATATGTATGTGTGATCAAGAACCTAACTGTGTCAGTTTCTGATATACGTACCGCGCGTGTCGTGTGATCCTTTGCGTGGTGGCAGGACTTCGTGGCGACGGTGCTTCGCGAGCTGAAGGAGATCAAGGCGGAGCTCAAGTCGCTCAAGCAGATGCAGAAGAAGATGATGGACTCCTCCTCCTCCTCCTCCTCTTCCTCGTCCTCTTCGTCTAGCAGCGACGGCGGCATGGGTGGGATGAAGGCCAGGCGCATGGAGCGCCGCAAGGCACGGCAGCAGGGCGCAATGGGGATGATGGGGACCGGGGGGACCGTGGGGGGCTCCGTCGCCACTGGTGCTGCTGCTGCCGGTGCGGCTGTCATCACTGCTCCTGTTGCCGCCGCCGCAGCTCCTGCCACCGTTTCCGCCGCTTCGTCATCCGTGCAGTCGGTGATAGCCGCGTCGCCCGTCCCCGCCGCTCCTGCCAATCCAGTGGCATCCGTTCTTGCCGCGCAGGCACAAGTCGCCTCGGAAACCCCTAGGGTGTGGGAGATCGAAGACGTGGTTTCCGCGATCGCAGGAGGCGCGTCTTTCACCAGCTCCGCGCTGCCCTCCGCCCTCCAAACGCCTGTCCAACTCCCCCCTGTGCAAGCCCCGCCTTCCCCCTCTCCACTCCCCGCACCCACCTCCCCTCTTCCCGCTGCGGTTGTCTCGCCTGTCATCCCTGGCACTGCGGCATCGCTGCTGCAAGGGAGCGTGGCGGTGGGTGTGACTGTAGCGGGGGACGTGGAGGTGTGCATTGGCGGGAAGTGCAAGAAGAATGGAGCGGGTGAGATCCTATCCGCCTTCCAGGCGCAAGCAGCGGGAACAGGTGTGCATGTGGAGGCGTGCAAGTGCATGGGCAAGTGCAAGGCAGCGCCGAACGTGAGAGTGTGGCAGGATGACGAGGACGAGCCGCAAATGGAGAGTTATCTGGCGGTAGAGGATGTGGGCATGCTGATGCAGAGGCACTTCGGCCTGCAGCCTGCTCCCGTGCCTGCTGCTGGAGCTGGAATTATGTGATGCTGGACACTGATTATTAGTCACAACCTAATAGTACCCTATGTTGTAAGTAATTTCTCGTTTGGTGATTGAACCTTGAACAGGTTGTGTTATGCATTTCATATACGGTGTGGAAACATTGTGGCAGTCACCTATTTCTGAAGATTAGAATCTGCAGATTATCCTGGCTTCAATGTCTGGTTATGTCGGCTTCCGTCCATGACTAGGAACTTTACTCACGCCTGCACTTATGTCTGTTGGTGCCAGTATGTATATACACTTCAAATTAACTATGCAGTTAATCTCGACACTATGGTGCTGATAATGTCATATGCAAATACTAATTTTTTGAGTCAGTACTGTAGAGCTTATCTCGATGTGACGTGAGACTGGGGCTTTGGGTTGCCTTGAAGGACGCGGCGTGGCTCGATTCGTGCTTCTGAGTTGTATGCGGCTCGGGAGTTTTCAGCGACGTGAGGAGGCTTGGTTCGGCAAAAACACACACTCAACAGTAATCTTTCAAATGTTCTATATTTCAGGGTGTAAACGTAGCTTCATTTTCGCGCAAAGGTCCGGGCTTGATTGAACATGGGTTCTGTGGTTTGATCCTGCAACCCTATTTTCACCTCTCATTTCAGGCAGAATGGCCGTTTTCCTACTCGACTTTATGGGTTTTGTACTCAACAATTTCTGATCCGGGGATGTATGTGGCACTCGAGTTGCCCGAAACACAAATATTTCTCCGTGGCGCGCCCTTGACCAGGGGGAGCAAGGGGATTGATGGTGACGCGCCTCTCATCATATAACACGAACACCAACCATTTCGAGTTTTCAATACAAGCTCCTTCGGCCATTTTTGACTCTACGTCAGTAACAACGCACCCACGTAGCCATGGCCCGTGCTCTCAGCGTGTTCATCTTCATATCAGGTACTTGACACAACCGCAAGGACTGGAAGAAACAGCTAGCTGTCTTAGCTTGTTTACCCCATCTCACCTCCTTTCGTCTTTCGTGCTTGCAGCCTTCGTAGTCGGTGCAGCTGCACAATGTGCGAACCCCCTACAGGTACGCCTTAGCGCCTGGATAGACTCGTTTGGCACGCGTGAGCAGGGCTAACCTCTTTTTTTTTGCGGGAACAAATGGCAGGTATGTGACTTCTTCTTCAAGCCTCCACGTGGCATGAAGCCATTTGTCCCCACGTTCAAGATACGTGCCTCCAACATGAATCTCATGCTCAGCCAAACCGTCATCATGCACAAGTAAGAGTTCTGGTCTCCCTTGGCCTTTCTCAACAGCGTGTCCTCTACCCCCTGGGGTCTTGCGATACGCTTCGTAACTAATGATTAATCCACGAGCCTGCGCGATCTTAAGTAATGGTATCCGTTATTCTGCTGTTTCCAGATCGGGTGACATCGTGCTATCCACGAGCAATAACAACGAGTACAACGGATGCATCATGACGCCAGTGAGTACCCAAGCAGGAGAGCGATTTGAATGGTGTGTTGTCTCTTCTGTGCTTGCAACAATTTGCCATTAATTCCCGCTTACCACTCTACGTAACTGTCTCGCATCCATGCAGAGAACGGATTGGCATACGTGCGACAAAGTGTTCCTGTTCAAGGGAGCGGGGAACGGGCCCAATTCCTACGTCAATACCAACTTCGTCGCCATGTACCCCATGACCCCCGACGTCGTTCCTGTAAGTTCGATGTATAGCACCGCTGCGGTGGGAAGCTGTTACGCGGACCATGCAGTTACAACAACGACTGCTACACGTTTGATAGCACCATTGCGATCTTAAAATTGACGTGTATGTCCGTCATTTGTGAATTTATCTTTGGCAGCTGTATAAGAATAGGTGCATCGTGCTGCGGATGGACAACACTCGTCTCGCCCGCAGCGGCTACCTCAATAGCGGGGACACCCGTATGCGATTCCCTGAGGTGCGCAACACTAGCCATGACAGTGCATTTACTTTGTGTAAAACAAGAGTACGCTCGTCCGTCATTTGCCCAAGTCTAATTTTCTTCAGTAATTTGACACCTTCTGTCCGATTTTGCAGCAACGCCGTTGCATCGCTTTCAAGACCGCTTAAGCGATTTGTGGGGCGCTGGCAAGGATAATGGGCATCCAGCAACCATACACTGAAGGATTAATAAGTCGCAGTATTTGGTTCCAATCAAATGTGGAGCTCACACCTGCTGCAGAACAGTTCGCATTGTCGTATCTATCTGCAGCGTTAATACGTAAATGAGTTTGCGTAGTTACTAATGTCTTGGATTTGTAGGAGATCGCGTAAACGTTATGTAGATGCAATTGAATGCAGGGAGGTCATGAATGGCTCGTCTATTTTCGGGTTCAACAAGCGCACGTATCGAGAGGATGAGGCAAGTGTTGTCGGATCCGTCGGATCGGAACACAAATGCATTGTCCCTGGGGAAACGTGTGCCTTCCTCCGCGATGGGAACAGCCCCAGTGCCACCGCGGAAAGAAAGCGGGGTCCAAAATAGGATATTACGGTATAATGTATGGATTATGTACACAGATGGTGACAACCCAAAACCTGAACATTTCAGTTCAATTCAGTCATGGAAGATATTTCAGTGAAGATATTCTCAGATAATTAAACTTAACAGTATTTGGTGTATTCATTATCACGGTAGTTGTGATTCTAAATATATATCAAGTTGCAATAATTGTTTTATGACGTGTGGGCAGGTGGTCCTAAAGTGTTCCAAAACGACGAATATTACAGAAATCCAGGAATAATGTAGCATGATTGGTTACCAATGTCTTCGCACATCCCAGGCGTCCAGCCACCCTCACAACCGCAACCCTTCATGCGGCAAATCGTTGGCATCCCTCCCTGTGGGCCACGTTTGGGTCCAACTCACAGCTCCTCCGACCAGTTCAGCACTGCACCGCACTGCATAGCACAAAACCGCATAGAAACGTACAAATCTGCACTGTACAGAACGGCGCGAGCAATAACGAGTGTGGACAAACCAAAGCACACCTCAACACTGGCTTCATGGCGAAACGTGGAACATGGATCATCACTCCTTTCCAACAACCTCCAGCCTCGTCCTTACCCCCATCCTTGTCGTTCGTCAGTTCGTCCTTGATACGAAGTAGTCTGTACTGTTGCATGCTTTCGTTGTCCAATTAGTTTTAACACCGACCATTACATACGTCTCTTTCCCGCAGGTAAACCGCTCGTAGCACCGCCAGCCATGACGACTCTCCCGCCGCTTCGGGGGGGAGCCCGAACGAGGCATCGCGCGGAGCAGCAGCACGCGGCAGACTACTCGCCCACCGATGCCTTCATGCTCGCCACGCTCGCAACCGCGCCGATCCACGACGCCTCCTCGTCGCACGACTTGTCGCACGTCTCGTCGCACGCCTCGCGAACGTCGCAAACCAAATTGGACGGGGAATGGCCGCCTCGGAACCTGCGACCGCGAAACCCTAACGGCACAGCGCACGCCGCCGTTAAGGCAGATTCGGGTAAAAAGGTCAAGAAGAACGGCGTGAGGAACGGAGACCGAGGTGAGGAAGAGAGCCAAGGGAGCTTAGGTGACACAAGTACAGGTAGTGAAAGCGTTAGTAGGGTTGGCAGTTCAGGTAGCGCGAGTGCCGAGGGTTTAGTCGCGCGCGTTAGGAAAAATCTCGCAGACTTGCGTCCGTTTGACGAGTCGGTCAATAACGCGGACGCTGGAGCCCGTAGGAATACGGACAGCGGGACGGGGCCGGGGCAAGTGGGGAGGGAGAGCGCGCAAGGCGGAGGCGGAGGAGGGGCCTCAGTTGGCGAAGGCCCGTCAGGCATCGACGCGCCTGCGGCTAGTGGGTTGCCTTCCGCCAGAACAGCCCCTTCCGCCCGCGCAGTTCCGCGGAGGAGGCGGACGGCGGGCGGGTGCAGCTTCGACAGCTCCTTCGACCCCGTGCTCTCCACCTCGCCCCCCGCGCCCATGAGCGCCAGCGATTGCGACGCCCCCAAGCCCAAGGGGCGCAGGGCCGCGGCGGCGGCGGCGGCGGCGCTCGCCGCCAACGCCTCGTTAGAAGCCCCTCCGATACCGCGCACTGCCACCAACTCTTCCGCCGTCTCCAGCTGCTCCGCGGCTTCCGCCGCCTCCGCTCCCCCGAGCGCGCTGAAAGGGGTTCCGCCCGTGGGGGGATCGCGGGGGCACAGCAGGAGCCGCTCGCACGGGGGGTTGTCTGGGCGGCTTCTGTCGCGCCTGGCGCAACAGCCTGGCGCAGAGCTCCCCGCCGACGCGGGCGCTGGCGCTGCTGCTGCTGCGCCCTCCGCCGCTACCTCTGCTGCTGCAGGCGCTGCTGCTGTGCACTCGAGCGCTGACTGTGGTGCTGTGGAAGGGGGTAAGAGCGGGGGAGGAGGCGGGCGTGCGGAGGGACTCCCCATGCTTCCGCCGCCTGACGCGCCTCAGATTGTAAAGGTCCGTATTGAAACCGCGCGCCTTCTCTGCCAGCTCCGTGCATTGTGTTGCAAGCTCCAGTCAATCCTAGCTGGCTGTACTAACCCCTCTGTTTTCACCCCTCTCCCTTCACCCCTCTGCCTCCACCCCTCACCTCCTTTTCTCCTCCCTCCCTCTCTCCCTCCCTCCCCCCGCCCTCCTCCCTGCGCCCTCCCTCCCCCGTCCCTCCCCCCTCCCGCCCTCCGCCCTGCGCCCTCCACAGTGCCAGAGTTGCAACAAGTCACTGGCAGTGCCGCCCAACCTGCCGCCGCCCGGCAAGGGCTACCAGCGCCTGCGCTGCGGCAAGTGCCTCCACATCTCCAAATACGCCCTCTACTCTCCCCCCTCTACCGCCGCCGCCACTGCTGCTGGTTCCGACCTGGGGAGAGTTCACAAGGAGGAGGGGGAGGGGCGGGAGGGAGAGGAAAAGGAGGCAGAAGAGTATGGGGTGAGAGGGAATGAGGGAGCCGTGCAACCGGGTGTGTCACAGATGTGCCATCCAATGATGCATCAACAGCGTCAGCACCAGCAGCCTCAGCAACAGCAGCAAGAGCTGCAGCAATTACAGCATGAGCATCAACTGTCGCTGCAACAGCAGCAGCAACAGCAGCAACAACTGCTGCAGCAACAGCAGCAACAACTGCTGCAGCAGCAGCAGCAGCAACAGCAACAACTGCAGCAGCAACAGCAACAACTGCAGCAGCAACAACAGCAGCAGCAGCAACAACAGCAGCAGCAGCAACAACAGCAGCAGCAGCAACAACAGCAGCAGCAGCAACAACAGCAGCAGCTGCCACCGCCACCGCCACAGCAGCAGAGGGGCCACCGCCGCTCTCCCTCCACTGGCGCAGCAGCAGTGGTGGCAGCGGCAGTAGCGGCAGCAGCAGCAAACTCCGCAGCCTCCCTCTCCCGCAGCGCCAGCACCACCGGCCGGAACGACTCCCCCTACTGCAGCAGAGCAGCAGCAGCCAAGGCTGCCAAAAGCGGCAAGGGCGGGGGGAAGGAGGGGAAGGCAGGGGGGAAGCACCAGCGGCGAGCCACAGTGGATTCAGCAGAAGTGCTGGGCGCGTGGGACAGGGAGGCAGGGCAGGCCAGTGCTGCTGCCAGTACCAGCAGCAGTGGTGGGCGGAGTGGGGAGGTTGCAGGTGCGGGTGCGGGTGTGGGTGTGAGTGGTGGTGCGGGAGGGGGGGGTGCAATGCCCCCGCGGCCCAGCACGAGCAGTGGGGTGAGTCAGCTGGCGGTGGCGGCAGGGTTTGGTCCCTGGGATGCTGCCACCGCCATGCACGCTGCTGCCGCTGCCGCTGCTGCCGCGGGTTCTGCCGGTGCTGCTGGTGCTGCTGGTGCTGGTGGTGGTGGTGCCTCTGCTGCCGTCCCTGCATCGAGCTTACCCCCTCCTGGTCCACCTGGCATGTTCCCGCCTGGCGGGGTTGCGGAATTCCTGAGGCAGCAGCAGCTGGCGCGGCAGCAGCAGCAGCAGCTTCAGCAGCAGATGGGGGCGGATATGATGCTGCAGGGGCAACCCATGGCGGCACCAGGCATGATTCCTCCCATGGCCCCTCACCAGTTCCCACTGCCCATGCAGCAGACGGGCATGCAGCAGCCCGGCATGCAGCAGCCTTTTCCGCCGCCCTATGCCTTGATGGGGCCGGGCATGCCAGGCATGCTGCTGCCGCCAGGGGGGATGGGGCAAGCGGGCATGGGGCAAGGGGCCATGGGCGCAGGGATGAATGGCATGGGCATGGGCATGGGGATAGGGATGGGGATGGGGATGGGAATGGAGATGGCTGGGGCGATGGGGGGCCCCATGGGGGCCGCGGGGATGATGGGGCCGCTGGGCGAGGAGGGGGGCTACAGCCGGCGTGTGGTGGTGAACAGTGTTCCCATCACCGACCCGGCTGTAGCGCGCGCTGAGGAGCTGGCTGGCCCCATCCACCCCGGCAGCTACTGGTGAGCGCTGCTGCTGGTGTTGGTGCTGCTGCTGGTGGGGTTGACAGGTGGTGGTGAGAGTTTGTGGTGAGAGAGAGGTGATGGTGAGAGCTGCTGATGGATAGGAGGGTTCTGCTAGGGAGGGCGATTGCTGAGAGGCATGCTTTTCCCTCTCTTCTTGGAGCCTCCCATGATAGAGCAGGCAGTATTCCGTACTGGTGTTGCTTTTGAGAAGTTTCCAGTATTCCCAAAAGCACCTCCCATATACTCACCAGGGCCACTGCCATATGTGTTGCGGTGTGCTGCGGTGTGTGCTACAGGTACGATGTGCATGCTGGCTTCTGGGGAGTCATGGGAGGGCCCTGCCTCGGGATCATCCCGGTATGTCCCTCACGCTTTTCCCTCCATCTTTCATTCTGCCTACTCCCTTGACTGTTGTCTCTCCTCCCTTCACCTTTCTCTCCCATGCCGCAAAGATTCTCTCACCATTTCTCCGTAACCATGCACATTCCCTGCAATACATGCCCCTTCCCCTTCCCCCTTCCCTCCCTCCCCGCTGACTTGTGAGTGCTGTCTACATGTTCCATTCCCGTTTTCACATCTTTTCTGTCATTCCTATATGCCTTCATAACCTTCTTTTCCCCTGTTTTGGAGGCGCCTTAAAAGTAGACTCAGTCCTGACTGCCTGCACAACCTCATTCCGCCACTCCTCTCCCATACACACTACTGCGGGCGGGTACCTGGAATTTATCCATGTCTTCCTTGCTCCCATAGCCCAACGGTCACACACATGCTGGTGAACGGCTGTACCTGCAACGACAGCACCAACACATCCTCATGCCTCCCCTCCCCGCTTGCTTGCTCTACACTGCTTCATTTCCTGCCCCCTCACCCTCATTTCCCCCCTCCCACTCAATCTGCTTGTAGGCAGGCATCTGGGACCTGGCTCTTTTGCCCCTGCTGCGGCACTGCTCTAATGGGAGGGTGCTGGTGAACGGCAGGGAGCTGCAGCAGCACCACTGACACATCCTCACGCCTCCTTTTGCCCGCCTCATTCCCTCTCCGCTCTCTCAACCCGCGTGCAGGCGGGCATATGGGACTTAGCATTAGCGCCTCTGCTGCGGCACTGCTCCAATGGGCGGGAGCTGCAGCGGCAGCACCACATCCTCACGCCTCCCTTTGCCCACCTTCTCCCATGAACTACCTCATTCCCTGCCCCTCACCCACCAATCCACACGCAGGCGGGCATCTGGGACTTAGCATTGGCACCGCTGCTGCGGCACTGCTCCAACGGGCACACACGCGTGCTGGTGAACGGCCGGGAGCTGCAGCGGCGCGACCTGGACATCCTCATGCAGAGGGGCCTGCTCGACCACCCCGGTGCCGCCTATCTGCTGGACATTCACGGCAACCTTGCGGACGCCACCAACGGGGAGCCCCTGCCCTGCCTTGGGAAACTTGCCCCCTCGTGAGTTTGTATACTAGACGTTTGCCTCCTCCTCTTGTCTCCCTCGAAGTCATCTCTCCGTCGCGCAACGCTGCAAGAGCTTGCCCTTGGGTGATGATGTGATGGTGGCAGTAAGTGTTGCGGCATAGGGTGTCTGGGAACCATCAATTATAGATGCTTGTGACGTGCATCTGGTTTCCCTTTTCACACTGCCTTTGCTTTTGGATGTTAGTACAGTGGAAAGGATGCTATAGGCTCAATTACTGCTCCCCATGTGGCGTTATGTTGCTGCTCCTTACCATATGTGGTGCACCTATGTTGCTGCTCCCCATGTGGTGTGTGCAGGCTGGAGCTCAAGGGCAGGGGGGCAGGGATGTACGTACCCAAACAGCCCACATAGCGATGGGTTCTATCGTGCACCGGAAGTGAGTATGGTACATTGTCAAGTGTTCGTCCAGAGTGCGATGGAATACCGAGTGTGCCGATCACACCCACAGTGCAATGTCCTACCACCACTCTCATGTGATATGCAATCCCTCTCAAAAGATGCATCCACTTTTTCTATAACATGGTCAATACCAGCACCAATATATATTCACGTGCATTGTTGTGAGCCTTGTCTCCACCCAATACAGGGTGCATTATTCTCTAGCTCACTGAATCTCACCCAGCTCATAGTTTAATTGAAATACACCCAAATCAGGGCGCTACTCTAAGTCAACTAGAGGAGTAGTGATACCGTAAACGCCCGGATATAAGACAGTGTTGAATAGTAGACAGGGGTTGTCTACTATACGGGTGTCTCTTATAAACAGGCTAGCCTCATTATAAGACACCTATTTGTGTGTACGAGATAAGACATATATGTCTTATAATCGAAACTTCAATATATTATAGCGAAAGTTGAAATAACGCGTACATTTTTACCCTTGCGAAGCGCGAATTTCTCCACGCGCTGACCCAGGACCTACCAAATTTGCCTCTGCAGGTGTTCTCCATGACGTGGCGTCCCGGGCAGTGGTTGCCGAAGTGGCACCTTCGCAACATCCACACTCATTATGAGGAACTCTTTTTCAAGAAGTACGGAAAATATTTCTAAGTAGTTTAAAAAGTTTCCATTTATAAGATTTATAAGACACCCTAAAGCATCCCGTTTACAAGATAAATCAAGCATTTTTTCCCAAATACGAGCTTTTTTCCCAAATACGAGCGATGTCTTATATGTCTTATATCCGGGCGATGACGGTATCAGAAGCCCAACTGGGAAACCAACACAACCCAACACATTGGATGGGTTGGGTTGTGTGGTTAGCCTTTTGACTGCAAAGCTTGGGATGTGCCATGTAGAGAGTGAAGCTCCGGACTGCAAAGCTTGGGATGTGCCATCTAGAGAGTGAAGCTCCGGATTGGAGTCGGCCAAGGTGCAAGCACATGTTGAACATGAGCCCGGGATGCACAATATTGGCTGCAATTGAACAACAAGGTCAGGCTGGAGGCCAGGCGGAACAGCAGGCTCCAGAAAAGAAGCAACAATGGCAAGAGCATCCAGTCAATACTGGGCAGTGGTCTCAGCATAGCTCAGAGTTTCCAGAAAAGCCGTATTCCACTATAGGGGGAGTAAGGATACTCCATACAAGCATGTCAAGTACATTATGGCATAACAGATGACATTCCTGATAAATACGTTTACCAGCTTTACTTCTTGGCAAGAGCGGCCCTCACAACTGCCTGGGCAGCAGCCAGCCGGGCGATGGGCACACTGCAAGCAGAACACAGACGGAAGGCAAAGTTTTCGAGTCAGATTGATGCTGAGATGCGTCTGACAAGGAGCAAACGGAGCGGAAAGGAGGGAAGGGGGAAGGAAGGGAGGCGTACCGGAAGGGCGAGCAGGAGACGTAGTTGAGGCCGCACTTGGCGAAGAACTCCACGGACGACGCCTCGCCGCCTTGCTCACCGCACACACCCACCAGCAGGTCGGGGCGCGCGGCGCGGCCGCGCTCCACAGCCATCTTGATGAGCTGGCCGACACCGGCCTGGTCGAGCACCTCGAAGGGGTCGTTCTGGAGAATGCCGAGCTCCAGGTACTTGGGCAGGAACTTGGACACGTCGTCGCGCGAGTAGCCGAACGTCATCTGCGTCAGGTCGTTGGTGCCGAAGGAGAAGAACTCGGCGCGCTCTGCGATCTGGTCCGCGATGAGGGCCGCGCGGGGCACCTCAATCATGGTGCCCACCTTGAAGGGCACGGTCACGCCGGTCCTCACGGCCACATCGGCAATGACCTTGCGGATAATCGCCTCCTGGTGCTCGAACTCCTGTGGGGTTGGAAGAAAGAGAGTTAGGTGAGCATTAGCTGGATGATTGGCGGTAGCAGTCGTGCTCGCAAGGTAAATTTGCATTGGTTCATTTTCCTCTTCCCCGTGACCTTGCCCTATTCCCTCCCACAGCCATTGCTTTGAAACCCGCGACTTGCCTGGGTGGTTCCGACGAGCGGCACCATGATCTCGGGGTGCACCACCTTGCCCTCCTTCTGCACCGCGCTCGCCGCCTCGAAGATGGCGCGCACCTGCATCTCCGACAGGTCCTCGTACCCGATGCCCAGCCTGCACGCACCACACCCGCCACCACCGGTTAAGACTTTCGGGACATCAAGACCTCAGCCACTGAAGGACACTGGAAGCACGGCTTTGATATATACTGTGGCAGTGAGAAAGATGCGAGAAACGAGGCGTACCGGCAGCCGCGGAAGCCGAGCATGGGGTTGACCTCCTGCAGCTCCTCGATGCGGTTGAGCACGTCCTCCTTCTTCACGCCCACGTCGCGCACGAGCTCGTCCACCACGTGGTCCGCGTGCACGTGGTCCGCGCCGTGGATGTTGGGCAGGAACTCGTGCAGCGGCGGGTCGAGCAGGCGGATGGTGACGGGCAGCCCGTCCATGGAGCGGAAGATGCCCTCGAAGTCCGACCGCTGGTACGGCAGCAGCTGGTCGATCGCCGCGTGCCGCTGCTCGGGGTTGGTGGCGAGAATCATCTCGCGCACCTTCATGATGCGCTCCTCCGTCGCGAAGAACTGCGCGCGTAGAGCGGGTAACGGGGTTGAGGACGGACTCGGTGGTGTTAGGCACGAATGGAACGGACGGCCTTCATGAAAAGCAGGACGCAAACGAAAGACAATAATAAACAGTAATTTAAAAAGGAGAGGCAAGGCTCACCATGTGCTCCGTGCGGCAGAGGCCAATGCCCTGAGCGCCCTTCTCCCTGGCGGCCGTGGCGTCCTCGGGGGTGTCAGCGTTGGCCATGACGCGGAGCTGCCTGGTGTCGTCCACCCACTTCATGAACGTGCCCAGGTCGCCGCTGATGGACGGCGGCGACAGCTTCTGCTGGCCGGAGATGACCTCGCCGGTGGTGCCGTTGAGCGAGATCCAGTCGCCCTCCTTGAGCTTCTTGCCGCCCAGCTCCATGGTGCGGTGCGTCTCGTCGATGTGCAGCTCCGAGCACCCAGCAATGCAGCACTTGCCCCACCCGCGCGCCACCACGGCGGCGTGGGAAGTCATACCGCCGCGCGCGGTGAGGATACCGGAGGCGGCGTGCATGCCGCCGACGTCCTCGGGGGAGGTCTCCATGCGCACCAGGATGGTGTCCTTGCCCTGCGCCTTCCACGCCTCGGCATCCTCGGGGTGGAACACCACCTGCCCGACAGCGGCGCCGGGGGAGGCGGGCAGGCCGGTGCCGAGCACGTCGGTCTTGTACGCCTTGGGGTCGGCGAACTGGGGGTGCAGCAGCTGGTCCAGGTGGCGGGGCTCCACCATCAGGATGGCCTGCTGGGGAGTCACGAGACCCTCAGCAACCATGTCGACGGCGATCTTCACGGCGGCGAGGCCGGTACGTTTGCCCGTGCGGCACTGGAGCATCCAGAGCGCGCCCTCCTGCACCGTGAACTCGATGTCCTGCATCTCCTTGAACTCCTTCTCCAGAATCTCGCAGTTCTTGCAGAGCTCCTCGTACGCCTTGGGGAGCACCTTCTTCATCGTGTCGATGTCCTCGGGGGTGCGGATGCCCGCCACCACGTCCTCGCCCTGCGCGTTGATGAGGTACTCGCCGTACAGCTTGCGCTCGCCGTTGGACGGGCTGCGGGTGAAGAGCACGCCGGTGCCGGAGTTGTCGCCCATGTTGCCGAACACCATGGCCTGCACGTTCACGGCCGTGCCCTTGAGACCCGAGATCTTGTTAATCGTGCGGTACTTGATGGCGCGGCCGCTGTTCCACGAGTTGAACACAGCCATCACCGAGTACTTCAGCTGCTCCTTGGGGTCTGCGGAAAGGAAAAGGAAAGCGCAATGGGGGGTAAGCAATAATATAGAGAGAACGGACACATTCACTAGCAATGCTCAACGGAGCAACCCTGAACACGACCTTTGGAAACTAGTGTCGAGAAAGCACTTCTCGAACTAGTAGATTCATTGTTGTAAGACATTTCGGAAGAGGCAAGTGCTTACCGGAAGGGAAGTCCTTCCCAGTGGCCTTCCGGTAAACCTCCTTGTACTTGGCAACGAGCGTCTTGAGGTCCTCATTGTCGAGCTCCGTGTCGACCTTGACACCCTTGGCCTTCTTGAGCGCCGAGAGTTCCGCCTCGAAGAGAGAGTGCGACACGTTCATCACGACGTCGCCGAACATGTCGATGAAGCGACGGTACGAGTCATACGCGAATCGCTCGTTACTCTTCTTCGCGAGGCCTTCGACGACCGTGTCGTTAAGACCCAAGTTGAGCACGGTGTCCATCATACCAGGCATGGAGACCTGACATGATAAAAATAGCAGTCTGTGAGTTAAGAACTTATACAAAATGATGTGTTATAATGCTTCTAAACACTCTTGACGCATGACTTGGAAGGAATCCCAGAAAATTTCGAGGGATGTCAGCTTGCAATTGAGATGCACCAAATGAATTCAGAAGCACGAAAGCGAGGTCTCGGGTGTACTTACAGCAGCACCAGAGCGGACAGACACGAGAAGAGGATTCTCGGGGTTGCCGAACTCGAAGCCGGTGTTCTTCTCAACGGTCTTCATGCCGTCGAGAATCTCCTGCCACAACTCATCGGTGAGCTTTCCGCCGCTCTTGTGGAAGTCTTCGCAGGCCTCGGTGGTGACGGTCAGGCCAGGAGGCACCGAGAGGCCGATGCGAGACATCTCGGCAAGGTTAGCACCCTTCCCGCCGAGCTGCAGAGGAGAAAACATACAGTCAGTACTCGTCGAAGCAATTCCTGTCGACATTTAGAAAAGCATGCGAGTCGCTCTTCTTACCAGTTGCTTCAGAGACTTGTCTCCAGCGCTGTAGCCCTTGCCGAAGACCCATACCCTCTGCAATAATGTAAAGACATACGGTAAGTGATATGATACAAAGAGAAATTGCGTTGGTCGCATTCGTGATGCTACTCACAGGCTGAGCGGTGGCCATGGTAGAATGAGTTCGAAAAAAGTTTCTGAATCTGAGTAGTTGTGCGTAGTGTCTAACTGAAGGTCGTGAAAGAGCAGTCTATGAAATGTCACAACAGGGACCAAGAGACGGAATGGAATTCCAGGAATGTGAATGATATCAGTGCAATGCACGCTTTTATGGACCGGTGGCATGAGGCCGATGAGGCAGGGATTGCGGAGTCGCGCGCGGGATGTAGAAAGATCTCCAGCGCATTTTTCATCGTCAGCATACACACGTGCTGATCTGTTAATTCATAAGGCAGCGTGAAGGTGCTGCCACATCAGGATTGCTGAGTTGGAATGGGACATCAAGTAGTCCACATCCTCGTGGGCTGCCCTTTCATTACGCGGCCCTAGATAGTGATGGTACAGGTGGCGCCGGTTTCACGCCCCATTGGTAGGTACCTTTGCCTAGGCCCAACGAGCTGGCTCGACAGCACGTGCCAGATTTCACCTAATTGGTGGAGCTCGGGTTACCAGGATTCTAGTGGGGAAGTTTGCATCAACAAACCAGGAGGCAGAGTCAAACGAGGCTCCCATTCCGTCGGGTCAGGAGGATATAAAAGTTGGGCGCGGTCGTGTTCCTTTCTGTCGGCACGAGCACCCGTTGGGTTCTGTGGATTGCGCAACAAGAATGCCCGAAACAACGAATAACGAGCCTAAGTCACCGTAATAACCACACCTTCCAACGTCCTCGTTGAGCCTCACTACATTTAGAATTTAGCATTCGTGAAGTATTGTAAGGAAATTACTTATTCCTTAATCAGTGTCCCGTCCCTGATTACCGAGTACATGATTGTTCTTGCAACAGTACCCTAACGCTAATCCGTTACCACCTCGTAACACTCACCTTAACTGTTACAAATAGTAATGAATGAAACATTACTGTGCACTCATAACCGCAGCTAAGGGAAGCACGCAGTATCGAGAATGAATGCGAGGAGTCAGAGTTGACTCGAAGCGACAGACGGTTAGGGTGGATATGGACCGTCGGAGCAGACGGCACCGGGCAGCTGCACGCAAGAGGAATTTGGCGGGAACAGTTTCGTAACTGTACGCGCCGCACGGTTGGGGATGAATTTGAATAAGGGAATGTACCTCTTAGAGTACATGGCTAGCTAAGACGATTCGAATTCCCCTGTACTCATATTTGTATCTTTGTATCGCTTGCATGTTTTAATCATCTCAAGCATTTTACATTCACTCTACTATTGAAGTCAAGGGCCCACCATCACTTCCTAGCAGTGTTCGAACCTTCCTGAGAAGATCCTAGGGACGACAACTTTTGATCGCAGCATGGTATGAGAGCGACTCGGGAATCCTTCGCACTGCCACCTCCGAAATCTACTACGTTCGGAAAGTGGCGTCCGGCACACGCTCGCGTGTGAGAATGGCCGGAGGATCTGGTGGTCAGACAAATCTGACGGCTGAAGCGCAACCCAACCCGGCTGCGACAAGCGAGGAAACGACGACGATCGGGACCGAAGTCCTCGCACAACTACTTCAGCGACTCACCAGCTTGGAGCAAGGGCTCCAAACATTGCGGAACGGCGACGCGGGAACATCCTCGCAACCTTCTCAACCGGCCCCAAATGGCCAGAACACCGCCCCCAGGGCTCTCGTTATCAGTGTAATTTACCCTTCTACATTGAAAGGAAGGGTACAATTTTGGGCTTACACTGATGTGTTTGGGTATTTTTTTGGAGGATTAGTATTACACTGATATGTCAGTATAATGCTGTAGGCCACACTGATGGATTGGGGAAACTTTCCCTTAGCAAAGATTACACTGAAGAGCGTACAGGCCCCCCCCCCCCCCCCCCCCCTCCCTCCCCCCCTCCCAGAAATCCGTCGGTTCGAGATGTTTCCTTCCGTGAAGTCTGTTTGTTAGCAGGAGTCACGTGTCTGATTGGTCTCGTGTTTCGTGTTCCGTGTCTGTTTGGACTCGTGTCTGTTTTCCCTTGCCAGTACGCCACGGAAACTCAACTTGCTGTTGAAGGGTAAAATTTCCGAAACTCATGGTTACACTGATCCATCAGTGTAATGAAAAAATACACACTGCTCAGAAGGGTTATTGAAACAACTACACTGCCAATCGTGAGTAGGCAAAATCCAAACCTAAGCCCTGGCCGCCCCATAGACTTTCTCCCTCGACACAAATGGCTCAACTCCCAAGACTCCCCGTCCCAGTGAAGAGGCAATTCTCTCTGCACAATCGAAGTATCTCAGCATATCAAAAATAAAGACAAGTGTGTGTTTTGACGGCAGAGACTTCTAAACCTGGAGCTTCAAGCTGGAGCTCCTACTGCAGAATGCTCAAATTTTTCACTAGTTCGACGGGAGTTACGCGGAGCCTGCTAAAGATAACGACGACTCCAGGCAAGGTACTACAACGAGTCCCTAATGGCGTACGGTGTCCTTCTACGTAATATGTTGCCGGCGGAGAAGTTGGGCATTCGCTCATACAAAACGTTGCCTGCTCCTGCCTTCGACGCTTGGCGCCACCTGAACGGCGTGTATCAGCCGAAGGACTCCGTTTCCTCGAGACGGCAGCTCCAGCAGCTACTGGAGACAAAAATGGCCCCAGGGGAGAAGGCCAACAGCTACATCAATCGCTGTCGGAGCCTTCGCGATCAAATCGCGAAGTTGGGAAGTTCGATATCAGGAGAAATTTTCGTCAATATCGTGCTTCAAGGGCTCGGCCCAGAGTGGCGGCCCTGCAAGGCGCTTCTCCGACAGCAGGGGGTCATCTCGGAGGCCGCCCTTTGCGCCGCCCTTCTCGTCGAACAACGGGATATGGATCAGCAGCGACCAGTGCCACTACGAGAACGTGAGTGGCTCGCCTTCTACGCCGACAACAACGAAGAGCGACGGCCGCGGCGCCTCTACTGCAAGATTTGCAGAAACTTCGGGCATTTGGCGGATCGATGCAAGTCCCGATCTCGCCCTCGCCAGGCTAATCCGAGAAACTGGTCTGGCCGACAAGACGCACGAGGCGACGTGCGTCCAGCCCAGGGGTATCAACCCCCACCCGCGCGCAACCTGAACCCAGCGGTTCAGCATCAGCAGTAGCAGTCGTCATCGACTGCCCCAGTACGCAACGTCATGAGCAACATGGCCATGACGGGCGAGTCGCGTCATCGCCGCATGCGCTCACCATCACCTGAACCAGCTCCGCACCCCATTGACGCGTTCTCCAACAACAATCCGTTCAGTCCGCGCCACGATTTCACCGACGACGACGACCAGGACTGGAACCTTCCAGTCCCGCTGCTTGAAAGTCCCCCGCACATACCTGATATGCGGGCGGCGCCACTCGATTGGCTCTCGCATGAGCAGTTTCTTAAATTTGACACACCTCATATCGTCACGCCGCGACTGGCGCTGCTCGGCCGTGACGACAAGAAGCGCTACAACACCTGGTACCTGGACAGCTGCTGCGGCCAGCACATGGTGGGCTCGGAGCGTTACATATCCAACGCCGTCGTCATGCCCACGGTCACCTGCGTCACAGTGGCCAACAATACGCGCCTGCGCGCAAGCGCGCAAGGCATCGTCGTGCTCAAGGCATTGGGAAGCCGCACGCCCAATTTATGGATTGCGGCGTTGATCTCAGCACGGACCGCGAGACACGCGACATCTTGCTGCACTACGAATCAAGGACCTTCCCCCGCAGGCAGATCGGAAGTGCGCACTTCGAAAATTGAGTATACATCTTGGACTTCGACATTCCCGACTGCAGCGGCGATTCGCACGAGTTAATCGACATCGTTCCACTGCGCTTCGAACACATCCACCGGAGGGATTTGAAACACCCTGACGGAAGACCGTGGGTGCCGCATCACCCTCACCCACCTGACCCAGACGGCATCTGCAGGGATTGTCACACACCTACCGCGTCAACGAGCGCGATTGCCGGTCGTGGGCTTGCCGCCATCGTAGAAGCTAAGTGACATGCACCCCCAGAAGAAGGGATGTCACAGCTGGAGCTCGAAATTGCCACGCGCGGCGTGTTCGGCACGCCAGAACACCCTCTCATCGGACCCCCCTCGCAGCATCTCCAAGGCATGCTGTGCGGCACTGGCATCGGCACCTTCGATGCGCACAATGTGCCGCGACCCTACACATACGAGAAATTCTTGGAAATTTACTCTCACCAGCGCGACTCGATAAAGAAGCTTACCGTGGAGCAAGAAGAAGAACTGGCGCGCCGCGAAGCTGAAGAACTTCGCTGACAGAATCTCGCCGAAGCACGCGGGACATTCGCCTACGGCGCATGGGGAGCCGCAGAGAAGGAGAGCGCCTCCAATGAAGGGGGGTGGGGAAGCGCTGGCGGATGGGGAACGAGTGACATCGGCGGATGGGGCAACAGTGGCGGAACCTGGGCCAACGCAAGCAGCGGTTGGGGTGCTGTAACTGGCGACAAAGACAGCGGAAGAATAAAAGGGGGGAGAAGAAGCAAAGAAAGAAGCAAAAACTACACCTGCAGTTGTTCCATTTGGTCGCTCCCCACGCCATGCTCCACCCGCACTACTTCCTCCTGATAATCCGCCGCACCGCGATCCCTGGGACACCTTCGATTGGGGCAACGAACCGTCAATTACGCGCCGCACTGTTTACGGACGTGCTCCCGAACCGCGTGAACCCACCTTTGTCCCCGGAACTATCCCTGGGACCAACATTTCCCTCTCTGAAATCCGCGACAAAGAATTCCTGGCGCTAATGCTGACCACCGCCAGCGACGAAGACGAAGCAGCAGAAGAAGCAGCAGAACCATCTACCCCCGTACCTAATGAAGACCCCGAAGAAGCTTCCACGCGCGCGCTATATGCGCACCTCCGGCTTTCGCGCTGACGATGCACTCTGGCACCAGCGCCTCGGACACCCTTCACGCGCGACGCTGAAAAATTGCATCGGCGCTGGAGTCTTTGCTCCTGGAGCGCTCCTGCGCCCAGATGGCACCGAAGTGAGAGGCGCGAC